AGCAGAAGTTTGATATTCCATTTTGCTATAGTGATAGTTTTTCAAAGTATCCCCACTAATTTTGACATATAGAAAAGATTTCTGAAGTACACAGTTTTGTATACAAAAATGACAATTTTCAGAGGCCTTAGTAATTAAACACATAGAAAATATTGTTTATATTGCAACTATTGTCACAAACCTTGTATCTTAAGGACACAAGAGAAGACTGACATAAGCCTAGTAACAATGATGTGATTGGAAATAAAATGGAACAGGAAAAACAAAAGCACGTGCACAAGAGCATAAAAGGAAAAGAGCATATACGGGGTATGAGAAAGGTTAAGAGAATGATAGGCTATTATCAGTAAAAGAGAATGCATGAGTCAATAATCACTACTGAGCATAAAGTGCCTTTTGTCAGTGTTTCAGATATGAACCACACTCACAGTAGCCTCATACGCAGCCCACAGTGTAAATGGTTTTACTGATGTACAGTTATTACCAGAACCTAACCTGTAGGAAGCTGTGGCTTGTCTGGGAAGTTCTGCTGATTCCTTTCTCATAATTAAAGGATGTTTCAGGAGCAGGCTTTATATCCTGAAATGAATATATCACAAGACCAAGACCAGTGAATTTGTTTCAGATTGCAGAAATTCTGTGTTTGGGACCTTGTTCAACACCATCTCATTTTCCTGGAGACGTAAGAGCTAAGATTTCTGATTCTCCTTTCGTTTTTCTTTGGAAAACAGTATAATATTTGGATAGCTCCAATTCAGAGTTCCTTTAGTTTATCTTGAAACTCATCTACCTTAACTCAAAACTATTTACCTCTCCTAGGTTGCTTTAGATGAGTGTATATGAAAAAACATCTAATGTCACTAGAATTCAAGTTACTGTTAGTGAGCTTCATAAGGGAAAGGATGTTTGTCATCTTTCAAAACAAGCATTTCTCAATGCCCAAATACTGTTGTGTCAGAAGAATAGTGTCCATGCCTGTAATCCCAGCACTTGGGAGGCTGAGGCAGGAGGATCATTGCAAGTTCAAGACCAGCCTATGCTACAAAGTGAGCTCAAGGCCAGCCTGAACTGCATAGCAAGACCCTGTATCAAAAAGGACCAATAATAATAATAATTAATAATAATAATAATAATAATATTGTCCAATTTTTCAAAGCCCCTAAAAGATGGGATAATCTCACTGCTGAAATATTTTTCCTTTAGCTTGGGATAGAGGCTGGGGAATTTCTAGCATTTACAGTTTTATGAAATATATTTTATTTCTAAAACAACAGTTTTGAAAGTCTGCTTAGTCTCTGGCACTTGTGAATTAAAAAAACACTTGTCTTAAAATCAGTATCATTGCTAAATGGTGGCTGTGGATTATACCACCTTACACCACCAAGCCATAACCTTCCAAATATCCCTGACTTTTTTTTTTTCAAATATCCCTGACTTTGATCACAAAAGGAAGTGTGATTGAGCAATTCAGATAGAGTAGCTGGGCTTGTAACCTGCAGCATGGTACATCAGTTTTAAAACTCTAACCTCTCTAAATAGCAGAAACTGATGATTCTGAGAAATAGAAATTCTCAACTTTTCCTGTACAAGCTGAGTAGGGACTCCAAGATTCAGAACAATGTCCCAATGTTCTAAAACATGAAATAGTTCCGAGAAAGAGACAAAGTACAGAAATATCCACAATGCTGTTGTTATTTCTTGCTTGTGATCTGGCAGTTCTACACTGATTCCTGTAAATGCTTCAACTTTTTCACTTCCACAGCCAAAGAGAAGCCACAGTGAATATTACTCCCAGAAAACTGCGAGTAAAAGAGAACGATCTCTCTTGAATTAGGCAGGAAGGCTCTTTGCTTAGCTATTCCTCACCAAAATATCCACACTAGGTACTGGTAATATCAGAAGAAGCTGTACTTAATGCAGAAGATTATCCCCAATTTAATATTTGACATCCAACATGGTTGACCAATATTATTGAAAATTAAAAAATCTAAAAGAACAGTTTGTTCATACAAAGTTAATAAATCAGTAAGTGTACACACAATGCTCTTGAACATTCTGACAGACATTTGCTGCATCTTAAATGCAAATGACTTCCCACTTTATGTCAATTATAGTGCTTTGTATATGGATTAAATCACAAAATGGTGTTCTTAGGCATGTAAGAGAAGGTTTCTGATGGTCACAACTTAAAAGTTGTGTCAATGGAAGAAAAAACAACAACTGCAGTCCCTACTAGACCAAATGTAACATCACTTGCACAAAAAACTTAAAATATGAAAGTATGTCTACCTATTTTTTCATTTTAACAATAGCTTGAACCCCAATTGAAACTGTTTAACTAAAGTGTGCATATGTTTTTAATTCTATATTTTAAAAAAGCAATAACATCTCTTCCATAAAAATATATGTAAAGTCCTTCTTCAAGTTTTACAACTGGTAATTTTATTCTATCCTCTGCATTTCATTGACTAAGATTGACCCACAAATCATCTTGCTGTCATCAGATCCTTCCTTTTGCCATCATCCTATTGGGTGGAAAGTAGGTGGGAACTAGAAGGAGATTCAAACTATTAATACCCTGTAGTTAGTCTTCAGTTATTTTTCTTGATCTTCTCTACAGGTGAGAGGCCAAGCAAGACCTACAGCCAACCAAGCCCTGGCTGGCACAGCAAAGGTAAAGGTTTTGATCTGCTATGTGACTGTCTCCCCTGTGTTGATTGGGATGGGTGTCATCAGTGCTATTTTAGAATAATTTTCTTCCTTTTAGTCTTATTGCTAATCTTGAATACATACAAACATTACTCTAATGTGCATTTCTAACCTACACCTCTGATTTGGTTAGCGTTATGACCAAATTTATTTTCAACTCTAGCTTAAAGTCATGGTTTGATACTTGGCTAAATTAGTCATCATGAATTCTAGATAAGAAAACTCATAAAACAATCCTAACCCTAGAAACAAATTTGGAGAGTTATATTCAGAAAATTGTACCTGTAATAATAATTCAGATTTATCCACAAGTTATTTTCAAATTTTGTCTCCACCTAAAAGTTTTAATTTATTTTTGGTATAATTATTGTTTTAAAGCATGCCTTTTACATGAAGGCTGAACTATTACATAAATTGTGTCATCTCCTTGCCAAGTAATGAGGGAAAGTTTTGCTGGTTTAAAGAGCTCATATATAAAGCTTTATTTCATCTCTTACTTTTATTCTTACTAAAAATGGAAGAACTATTATTATTTCTTCAAATGGAACAACTATTCTTATTTTACATAATTTTACTTTTGTCTCTGTTATAAATGTACTTTTATGAAGTTGAAAAGGAGTCTGGGATTCACCACAGAAAGATCATTTCTCAATCAGCTATCTTAAAGTTGGCAAATGAAGAGTTAGGATGCCTGGGTTGCCTTACATTGTGAAAATTTGATTCCACATGAGCTGTTTCTATTCGGTGGCCTTTTTAGAGCTGGCTCTGAAGTCAGATGAGTACACAGTTTTTTCATCACCCAGAAAGCACCTGAGATGGAGAGGGAGACCATGGCCAGGGTGCCTCCTAGCTTCTGCTCACCTGGCACTGAGATTCTGTCGTTCTTATAAATCTCAGTTTGCAGTGACTCAAGTTTATACAAATATGGAAACATCTATAACTCCAGTGAGATGTAGCTGGTATCTACTTCACAAATTTAATAATTATTTTAATATCAAAGTTTGAGGTATCACATTATTGTCCAAAAAGATATTTTATTAAAATCCAGTAGGCAGGTATGCTACCACATTCTCTTGTAGAAAAAGGAAATCAATTTATTTCTCTTAGTATTTCGGTAAAAGACACCAAATTTATTGTATTTATCCTTTTTATGGTGTTAATTGTATCACTTATAATTACTAGAGAAGTAGATTCAGATTATGATAAATGTGGCTTTATACTCCTCCATTCTCTGTTGGGTTTTACATACGGTGTTAGATGTATTATGAATCACAGAATTTCTGAAATCACTTGCCAGGCACACGCCTGTAGTCCCAGTACTTGGAAGGCTGGGGCAAGAGGATCATCATAAGTTTGAGCACAACCTATTCTACAAAGTGAGCTTTAGGCCAGCCTGAACTGCACAGTAAGACACTGTCTCAAAAAAAAAAAAAAGCCCAGAAATCACTTAGTTCAAACTCTTGTATTTCAAGTAAGAAATATAAGGCCCAAGAGAAGGAACTTTAATAACTGTGTGTGGTTCAACAATCCTTCAAAGGAATGTATAGTTGCATCCGTCTCTGGTCCACAGAGACATGTTACCAGTTATTTCAAAGCCAGGACTCACTCTTTACTCATTCTCCCTTTTCTGCTCTAAGCTTTTGTCCAGTCTTATCTTTCCCTGTCATACAACACTTCAGTCAAAATGCTCATTGATATTTCAAAACTTTCTCCTTTGTGTGAAATATTTGTTTACCCATTAAACTCTTCATAAGCAAGCCTCATCTAAATGCCTTTTTTATTTTTTTATTTTTTGCTATACCAGGAATCAAATTTGGGACCTTACACTTGCCAGGCAGGCACTTATGCTGCTGTGCTATCTCCCCGTCCCTGTCATCATTTACACAAAGATTTTTTGCTGCTTCTCTTAACTGAAACTTTCTATTTGAAAGAAACCCTTTTCTGGCATTTTCCTCTTAGAGTGATTTGCATATGTTGCAACTCTCACACTAAAATCAGTGCTGTTTGCTGGTAACATCCACAAACAGCTTCACCTTGCTATCTCAACATTAATTGAGCTGAAGATTAAATTTGTCATGATATTTTCAGCAATATTATCAAAAATTAAATTTTAAAAAATTTATTCCAAATTTGATGTTTCTCATACTCTTAGAACTACATTTTGCATGTTGGTTAAGTGTGCTTTTAAATCTGGCTTTATTTTTCCAAAGCAAACGTTACATCCAAATCATTCTGGAATTATCAGAAATAGATTCTTATAATTTAACTTTTTTTTTTATTTTTTAGGTGTAATGATGAAAACTTTTCTTCTAGTTGTGAATATAGTGGCATTAACTCTGCCATTTTTGGTGAGTTAATTTCCTTTGACTAATTATAGTAAAACTAAGAAAATTTTATTTAAGGACTTTAAAGAAAGAAATTTATAGATACAGTTATACTTCATGTAAAAAATTGCACAGTAGTTAATTTTGTACTTATTTCTATTATAAAATTAAAAGAACATTCTTCTGGATATTCTGAAAGTTGCCACAGTTGAGACACTACACCTTATCATGTGTAGAAAGTGTTCCACATTCCTATACTATGGACCTGGGGTGGGGGGGAACACTGCAAATACTTTTTTGTTTTGTTTTGATACAGGTCTTGTTACGCAGTTCAGACTCATTGCAATCCTTCCATCTCAGCCTCCGCAGTGCTAGGATTACAGGCGTGTGCCACCATGCCCAGTTTCAGGACCAGAATGGCTTGTCCGGGCTTTCATGTGGTGCTCCGATAGAATTCTGGTCTTTGCGCTTGCCAGGCAGGTGATTGGACTGCTGAGGAATCTCCCCAGCCCTAAATATTTTTCAATTATAAATGCTTTAGTGACAATTCATAAAAAATAATGAAAGAAATCACAGTCCAGGATCAAAACTTCTCTTAAATTCTCATCTCTCTGGCTGGCAGGCATTGTCTTGAATTACTGTGCTTAAAGATGGCCCAAGAAAAAGGTTTATTTATTTATTTATTGTATTTGGTACAGGGTCTCTCTATGCAGTTCAGATTCATAGCGATCTTCCTGTTTTCAGCCTCCCCAGCACTGGGATTACAAGTGTGCACCACCACGCGCAGACTCTGTGGCTGGCTCATGGTGGGGCCAGTGCAGCATGTGGAGCCGGGGATAGACCACTGGTCCCTGTGCTTGCCTAAATAGGCATTTAGTCTGCTGAGCTATCTCACTGGCCCATCTTCCTTTTTAATTTCTTGCCACATTTTTTACTGCATTTTGGGGGATTGTTGGATTTTATTTCTTTCAGTAAGTCCAAGAACTATGTTTGTGAAAAGCATATATAACAGCTAACATTCTCCTGCAACAATTATAAAATCTGGAGGGCAGTAGTTCTTGCTGCATTTATTATTATGTTTAGGTATGCTTTTATGGTAACATCTATTACATAGCTATCAAGCATGATAGATTATTGGATTCAAAATTACTTTAAAAATTTGTATTACTAAGGCCAAACAGATAGCTCAGCAGACTAAGCATCTGCTTAAGCACACACAGGGACCAGGGTTCAATCCCTGGCACCACATGGCATGCCAGCCCCACCCCGGGCATGTTGAGCAGACAGACTGCTGAGTCCAGAGGTAGGATTCCACACCTGTAATCACAGCACTGGGGAGGCTGAAAACAAGAGGATCAGTAAGGGTCTGAGCTGCGTAGTGAGACTATATCAAATACTTTGTATGAGTAAGAAAAAATCTTGTTTCCTTTCACTTATTGATTGAAATTATATTTTATTGTGGCCATTTCAACTTTAGGAACTTCAGATACCTTCTGATGTAACAGCAGTTAAAGTTGGAATTGTAAAATTGCCACAACTGCCTGCTAGGCAGTAGCTTTTCTTAAACTATCTGAACTACTTTATTTCCAAACTTTTCGTCACAATTTCACCAAGATTTCAACCCCAAAGGACATAAACCAGAAATTCCAAAGAAAATTTAAAGGTTATGGGAATAGACCCAGAGCGCAGGCCCGGTGAGTGAGTGAGACTACAGAGGGCCCTCTGGATCCTGAATAGACCCAGAGTGCAGGCCCAGAGAGTGAGTGAGATGACCTGGGACCCGGGGACCCTCATTAGACCCAGGCTGCATGCAGGCCCAGCATGGAACCCTTCAGCAGAACTCCCTGCAAAGAGGCTAGAGGCAAGACCCACCCACCTGATTCAGGAGCAGAACATCTTGCCAGAGAGACACAAAGGGTTAAACTCTAGTGCCTTCAGCAGAAAGAAGTGAAGCACAGCAGCCAGAACCAAACAGCCACCTGGAGGAATCAGAGCTTCATAGATATAGACCTGGTGCTAAGGTAATAACTCTATCTAAGCTCTACACCAAAGGTCAGAAGAGAGGTATACAAAATGAAAAACAGAAGGAACAAAATGCAGTCTCAGGCCCCGAGTCCACCCAGTACAAATGCAGAAGACACTAGCACTGAGGAAACTGGAAATCACACACCAGATATCTCTGAAATAATACCGTTGGCAGTAAAGAGTCAACTGCAGAAAGGTATACAAGAAATAATTTCGGAACTAAAAAATGTGGTAACTATAATCAAAGAAGTACTAAGTGCTTCTAAAGAATACACTGACAAAAAAATAGAGGAGAATATAAAAATGATAGAACCCTGGAATAAACAATTTAGGAAAGAAATAGAATCTATGAAACAGGATCAAAGTGATATACAGGAAATTAAAACCTCAATCACAAGCTGGCAAAACCATTTGCATGAAAGTGAAAATAGACTTTCTGACCTGAAAGACACCATTGCATCTAGTGAAAAAGTAAGAAAAGACCTCTTTAAGACAACTAGGATTCAGGAAAAAATAATTCAATACCTGCAAGATGATGCAAAGATGAACAATGTGAGACTAATAGGCATCAATGAGAAGGAAGGAGTCAATACAAATGATATAAAAAGAAAATGGGCAGAGGTAATAGCAGAAAACTTCCCAAATATGGGGCAACAATCTGACATTCCTGTAAATGAAGCATATAGAACTCCAAATAATATCAATCCAATGAAAACCACACCCCGACATATAATAATCAAGATTCCAGAAATTCAGCATAGGAATGGTATACTAAAAGCTGCTAAAGAAAAGAAACAGATCACATTTAAAGAAAAATCCATCAGAATAATGGCAGATTTCTCTTCACAAACCATCAAGTCAAGAAGAGCATGGAGCAAAGTACTTCAAGTCTTGCAAGAAAACAAATTCCAACCCAGACTGATCTATCCTGCAGAACTATCTTTCAAATATAATGGAGAAGTGAAATATTTCCATGACAAAGAACAACTAAAGGATTTCATGATGACAAAGCCAAGCCTACACAGACTACTAAATGATGTTCTAGAGAGGGGGCAAATTGATCACAGCCCCATGAATGAGAATGGAAAGAACTTGTCAAATTGGGCAAACAAACAGAGGAGAATTAGAGGTATACTGTAGTAGTCTTTCAGTTATTCTTTTGTATTCAGCAGCAGAATATTTCCATTAGCACACTCTACAAATGGACTTCTCTTCCACCCTATGAGTCATGATTCCACTTGCGTCTACAGGGTGGATTTCAAAGAAATAACTGTAGCTCACTTCCACAAGTGACGCCTAGCCACCGATAACTGTCATGGTCATTATGCATGTCCACAACACACTAGAACTTTGTGCGATATCCTATCCTCAAACTGTTAGAAGTGCTGGTCATTTATTTGCCATTCCAGTATTTATATTATGTTTTATTCTTAGTACTTCTTTGCTATCATGAAAAGTTTTTCTTAGTTCAATTGTTTTAAGACATTTAATTTTCTGAATATTGCTTAACCTTAATTTTTGTTCTAAGATTTATACTGTATCTTTGACTTACAATTTATTTTAAAAGACATTGTATGATATCTTCTCCTAGTATTAGAAACTTTAAAAAGTATATTTCCACTTTCTGTTGACTTAAAAAAAAGAGATTTGTACCTATGTTATTTGCTTATTATTTCTTGCCTATATCTTGTAATATGAGAAACTACTTTGGCAATGACAATACACAATGTACTAATCATTGTTACTCTCCTAAAATCTTGTTTTGAGATTTTGTACCACTGTTTTTTTTTTTCTTTCTTTAAAATAAAAATAACTGATGTCAATAAAAAAAATAAAATAGAAAAAAAAGAAAATTTAAAGGTTATGGATGTTACCATTTACTGTTTTCTGAGGTCACAGTTACCCAAATTTTTTAAAAAATGTGCAACCATTTTTTATATGCTAATTTATTTCTTTGCCAAAACTTAAAGCTGAATATAATATTTAACAAAAAAAGTAAACTCTGCTTTGTTTCTTTTTAATTCTCTATTTCTCATCACTTCTTGTTTTGGTAACTTCTCAGGCTGCAGAGGTACAGAACCAGGAACAACTGGCAGTAAGTTTATTGATTTATTAGAGATTTGGACTCTGTGATGTATTGTGCAAAGACCAGTGATGGAGAGATACTTTCTGTCTAACAAGTGTCTAATAAGCAATCAATCCCCACAAAATAATCTAATCTTAAAAAACCCCAAGAAACAAAAAATCTACTACTTCTCTAATACATAATGCGAATTTACCTCAATGTTCATCTTCAATTCTTGGCTTTGCTGTATAGCTGAAGCCATGCATCTTTATTTCTGATGTATATTTAGCAACATGAGGAAATGAGAAACATAAAGTAAACACGAGTTATTCTGGTTAGTATTTCTCCTGACCCATCTTTGAATTTCTTGTCTGTGCGTGTGTGTGTGTGTGTGTGTGTGTGTGTGTGTGTGTGTGTGCGTGCGCACGTGCATGACTCTCTTTAGTTTCCCAAATATGTGTGAGTGACTTAAATATGTCAATGTGTCTTATTTTGCCAGAAATATGAGTTGGCAATATTATTTTTGTTTCATTTGTGTTCATTTGTGAAAGGCACTCACTCACAAAATTGGTAGGACAGAAGCAAATAAAAATAGAAAATGCCCCTCTGTTTTTTTGTGGAGAAAATTTTTAAAAAAATCAAGAAATGCTCCTACACTTTACTGTTCTGTTACTTTTAGCTTAGAGAAAATAAAACTTGCTATCACTTGGACTACTCTCCAGATAAATCAAATTTTGGAGCAGTTACAAACATAGTAAAAATATGTACATATGTGTCTATGTGTACTTGTGTATACTGCCAGTTTTCATGAGATTTTTGCCTGTATTGTACTTATAATATTTAGCACTTACTGAACATTTCCCATAAATGTGAACTTCTGGTCAATGTGGTTTACATGGTAAATTACCCCATCTAATTTACTTGAAATGAGTATTATCTTATGTTTTTGAAAGTAATATAAAAAACCATGAACTGAAAATGAATTGCACATATCTATCTCATAAAATAATAACTATTCAGCTTCATACTACCAATATTGTATTTACTCAATATCAAATACTCTTATTTCATAAAATGTTGATTTATGTTACCTTTACATTTTGCTCTACAATAACTTCTTTCTGTATGGTTTATTCTTCTTTGCAGTGTTGGGAAAATGATGAAAGACTGTTTAATCAGAAAAAGGTCCTATATGGCCTAAGTAACCCTGTGCTGAATACCTATCTTCATAATGCACTCAATTACTACCAAAATAGAGCAATGGTACCAATTAATAACCCATGTGTGTGTCACCCATATTATGCACAATCTTTTGTGCTTCAGCCACAAGCCCAAGCATCCAAGTGGCCAGTCCTGACAAATATCCCTCAGCCCACCATTCGACATCACCCAACCAAATTCCCATCATTTATGGTCATTCTCTCAAAGAGAGCACCAGAAAAAGCCACTATCCTTGCCACTGAGACCATCGCTGCTCCCACGCCCACTCCAGTCACTGCTGCTGCAGAGATCACAGCAAGCCCTGCGGACATACTGGAAGTGCCTTCTGAGTTTGTTCGTGCCCCTGAGACCACCACTGTGCCAGCCACTTCACCCATAGCACAGGAACAATAAGGAAACAATACAGGTAAATGAGTAAAATGTAAAGTTAACATCTAGAAGACAAAAATGGGTTTATAGGTACAATCGTAAATCTAAAATAGTACAAGTGACTGTTAAAATAGTACAAATAGGCTAATTATAATTTTAATTTAGAAAACTCATTGCACTAATAAATTATGTTCCTGCAAGAAAGAAAAAAATATTTTACAAGATGAAGAAAATTATTTTAACAATTAGAACATTCCTAAAATCTATTTTACCTATTCACATACAAACAATAATAGTAGAGTAAAATACTATGTATGCTGAATAACTAACTTCATAATTCACTCAATTACTACCAAAATAGAGCAGCTGTACAAATTAATAACCCACATATGTGTCACTCATATTATGCACAATCTTTTGTGCTTCACCCACAAACCCAAGTTTCCAAGTGGCCAGTCCTGACAAATACCCATCAGCCTACCACTTGATATCACCTAATCAAATACTCATCATTTATGATCATTCCCTCAAAGAAAATTCCAAGAAAAAGCCACTATCTTGTGATTTTTCATCCCCAACACAAATTTTCTTAGAACTAAATATACAGTCTATGAATTTAAATAGACTTTAATTCTATGAGAATTTTCAAGAACTATACTTCTGGTAAACAAGGACATGATGCACTTCCCATGCATTTCTTTATTTCAGACAGCTTTCCTGGGAAGATCCATCAAGTCAGGCATCATTAATTTACCTTAAGATAACCTTGTGGAAGAAATATAATGCTTAGCTTGAAAAATACTAATAGTATACTTCCAGAATATTAAATGTAGTTATTTTGATCAATAGATAATAGCAAGGTATAAAGTAATTTAAAACTTTTAAGAAGCTAGATAAGAATGATTAATGAAATAGAAATCTTCACAAGAACTGTGAAATAATTTTAAAAGTTACAAAATTTGAATTTCTTTGAAAGAAATTTTTAATCCATTAAGCTTCCATATATTTTATGAAACAAAATCCCACACAGTGATTCAAGATCTGACAGGAGAGCACAGGTGGAAAGCCCCCTCTTTCCATCTTCTCCTACATCCTTAGCTGGCTCTCTCTCTCTCTCTCTCTCTCTCAATGAGCTTTTACTTTCCATAGCATAGTTTACTATAAGGTTTAATGAGAACATTTGGAATTATTGTTCCAAATTTTGGAAACATTTTTTTAAAAACATATCAATTAGTGAAACATCAGAAAATTTAAGTAAAATACATAGTAAAATTTATTTTTAGCAAACAGTCTGCTTTTACTAAATGATAAGATTTTTTCATAACTATATCAGTTGACTCCTACAACCAGATGAAGCAGATTTCATTGTTGTCTCAAATTTACCAATGGAAAAAGTAGGCCTCTGGGTGTTAAATAATTACCACAGATGGAAAGTACAAAATTAGAGTGACTCTAAACTTGTTTAACTTTAAATAGTGGGGCTTACTGACTAGGCTATGTATTTCTATATATGATTTCCTTCGACTTCCTTAAGTGTAAGTTGTTGTTTAATTGTCATTCAAAAGCATATGTTAAGAAAAAGATAATAAGTTGGATAAAGATTTGACTTATACAATGTTAGAAAACAGCATAAGAAAATGAACAGAATCTATGGGCTAGGGAAATGGCTCAATGGAATAAGCGCTTGCCTGGGAAGCGCAGGGGCCTGAGTTCAATCCCCAGTTCCGCAAAAAAAAAAGAAGAAAGAAAGAAAGAAAGAAAGAAAGAAAGAAAGAAAGAAAGAAAGAAAGAAAGAAGGAAAGAAAGAAAAAAAATGAGGGCTGGTGAGATGGCTCAGTGGTCTAAAGCACCTACTTAGAACAAGCAAAGCACAGCGACCGCGGTTCAATCCCCCAGCACCACATGCCAGCCAGCCCCGCCCCCTGGTGGGCTGAGCTGGCCACACACACACACACACACACACACACACACACACACACACAATAAATAAATAAATAATAAAAATAAAAATAAAAAAAAGAAAGAAAATGAATAGAATCAAGATGATAGCAAATGATTTAATTGGTGATTATGTTCTTTCTATATCCAAAATTATTATTATCTGCTGTGTTTCTAATGGAGTAATCACTCTTCAGAAATTATGTTGTTGAAACTTCACAAATCTAGTGTCCTACATTAGAAATATGATCTATCACTTAAAAAGAAGCTTATAAAAGACAGTGTCTTTTTAAAAATATAAGGTGAGGTGTATTATTTTCAGCTCACTATATCTCTGTTTTAAATATTTAAACTGAAGCAATAAATTTGGTAAATTCCTTGGGTACAGACATAAGAGAAAAATCATGGAAATGAAATAAAAGGTTACATGTGAGAACTATTATCACACTAATCACACTATTAACTTAATTTGTAAACTGTCTTTTTTTTTATAGGTTTTGCTAAAAGCAAATGAGGATTTCTAACTTTCCTTCAGCCATTTTTCAACTTCATTCAAGATAAAACATGATTTTTCACAGATCCATCTCCTTTCTCTTCTCCCCTTTCACATTATACCATTTAATTTTTATGATTCTTGCACAATAAAGTCAACAGAATGCAACTGAATGTCTGAAGTTTATAGAGTCTCTGGGGATGGCCTCCAGGTTTGCCTTGCCTGCCAAGGCAAGCACAGCATGAACGTAAGCACACACTTTGCCTGCAGGCACAGATCATAATTTCACTGAATCTTCAATGTAGTTTGCAATCTAACAGTGCTTAAGAACTGCTTCTCTTTATGCTAACACTGGAACATTTAAACTTCCTAAACTGTAGGTTCAGAGAGAACTAAGCCACAGTGTCTCAACCTAAAGGAGTAACACTGAGGGACTCCTGGGAAGATTTATATTTCAGTGTCCTGATTTGAGTCTAGAGTATTCCCAGGAGCAAATTCCATGCAGAGGCAAGCTATAGATGACCACCCTATAAACACAGTCATGTCATGAAATGATGGGAGTTCATGGAGGCCTGAAGTGCACATGACCCACTGCTCCCAGACTGAAAGTCAGTCTCACACACAGTGTATCCTTACATAATTGTATCCAAATATGCACACACACACACACACACACACACACACACACACACACACATTCCTGGGAGTTTCTATGTCTGCGGTCCTTCAATAAAAAAATCTAAAAGTTTATAGACATGTTATAATTTTTCCCTTAAACAAACATGACAAGGAAAATCAGTACATCATTTATGTGCCTGGTCCATAGTTACCATGTTTTGTCAAGAAAAAGAAAAATCAAATCACTAGTATATTATTGAATAAAAACACTAATCTAGGGCAAGAGAGATAGCTCAGTGGCATAAGCGCCTGCCTGGCAAGCGTAAGCTCCTGAGTTTGATCCCTGGTAAACAAAACAAAACAAAACCACTCATCTAATCTGTTGCAAGAACCTTCCACAGGCAAGCTATAGTTAGAAGTGACTTACAGCCTTTTGCTTCCTCTTCTACTCTAGGCATACTACAGTCACAGCAAGAGGAATGACCAGGGATAGAGCACGTCTAAGCATCCTCTGCTACAGTCACTAGCAATGTCAGTAATTTCTTGAAAAAGTCACACATTAAATTAGTAAAGTTTATTTTATTAATTTTAAAAGGTTATCTACTGTATGGAAGGTATTATAAAAGCTGTGGAGATACAAACATTAAGAATATTTAATAATAGCCAGCAGTGAATGGTTATATAGCACACACTATACACCAATCAGCCTTCTATTTGTATACATTTACTCCTTCAGTATATATCTGTGGGCTACATTCTTTTATTGTGGTGGAGGCAGTTATGAAAGAAAAAGAAATGAGCTAATTTTCCTCAAGGAGAGCTGAGATTTGGACCAACATGCTTTTGCTATCAATGCAATGTTCCTTAGAAACAGACACATATCACAATGGAATAGAGTAAAAGGCTCAGGAATAAAATCAAAATATGTACAGTTAACTTCAATAGGGATATCAGTGGAGACAATGGAGAAAAAAAATCTCTTCACGAAAGGACGAGGAGAAAACTGGATAGTAAAGCAATTTAATTGAAACTATGTCACAACAAAACCTAAAATCAATCTAGAATAAAGGACCTAGAAAAGAGAATGTATGTCTAAGGAAATTATAGAATTGCTAGCAGAACACATAGGGAAGAACTCATCACACTAGAATGACAGAGAGGAACTGGACAGGGCAGGACGCTCCTGTCTCTTAGTCTCAGGCACTACCACAGCTGCCTGGTCACATGGGACACAAGTCATGGGCACACAACCAGTGCTGTGCTCACAACTGTCTCTCCAGGGTAGCATACAATGTAGGAGGGGCAGGAGCTGAATAAATAGTTTAAGAACAATTGGGTAAGCAAATTTAAAAAATAATGGTTAAAGAATGAAATAACATTCTAAAGAATATCATTGGTTTTCCTTGCCAAACTACAGAAATAAAAACAATATTTCTCATAACGGTGTATTAGCGAGGATAAATCAAAGCTACTAACATCAACGATATATTGTTAAGACAACTCTATTCTCAAAAGAACACTGTGAGTAATATTACTGATCCCAAAACATTAAAGTGTGGAGAAATAAATTTTTATATTAATTTCAATTTTCAAAGAAAGAAAGTTGAGTATCCACAGAGAAATAACCTGATTGTGACATCAAAAATACAAGTTTCTCAACTCTGGCACATGAGTTAAAATATAGAGACACAGGGATACACTCCTAACTCTCCTGCACAATAACCACAGTAGGTACCATATGACATTATAGTGCAATGAAGTTCACCAAAGTAATAGTCAAGGGTGATGAATAAACTTTTATGTATACTTTATTGGAATGTACTTAGAAGTCTTAGAAACTCTTGAAAGGCAAGATGCAACTTTTAAACATTCCTGTAAAATACATGTTTTATGGTCCTAATATAATCATTTTCCACATTAAAATAATTAACCAATTATCACAAAGTATCTATAACTATTGTTGGAACGGGAAAGA